TGCGGTGTCAAAACGCGGGGGCGACTTGCTGTACTAGACTTGGCGAGCGCTGCCGACGACTTTGAACAGCCAATAGTGACTCGAGTCCCGGAACAGGTACTGGGATCAGCACAACCGCAGCGTTTATATATGCAAGAGGTGAACAGGGATCCCATTGCGTAAGAGGAAGTGGGGCCTTTTAGTCTGTTTTGGTGATCCGAGTCGGTGACCGGCAGCGGCACCATGTTCGATGTTGATCGCGGGATCTGCAAAGTTCCGCACCACAGCCACCCGGACTTCCATATACTTCCGCCTGATGTAAGCTCTCGTTCTACTCTCAAACAGTCGTCCTGCGTCCAAGTTCTACTGCAGGTTTCAATTTGTACTGCCCCTTCGCTATGCGCATTTGCAAGTCAAAAGGCCAGTGCTGCCTCCTAAGATCGCCGGAGTACCCGCTGGGTTGAAGTGCGTCAGCTCCGGTGCAAAATGCTGAGCAACGAGCGATCAGCTGTCAACAAGCTCCACCGCCTCTCAATTATGACAGCGATCCACTTTTCGGAGCTCTGGCACACGACCAAAGACCAAGCTCACGGAACTTCAGCGTTCTAATGCTATAGGAGCACGCAGACATCTACTTACAGGATCCCATCGATTAGTGGTTAGATCATCGCGTTGTGGCCAGGCGAATCAAGTGGATATATGATGAGCTCCAGACTTGCAAAACCTCGCGCGTGAGCCAATCTTTTGGTTGCACTAATGACTATAGCAGTAGACAGAAACAGCTATGCGGGTGGAGGGGCGGGGGTGGTGCGGGTTGTTTCTGGGTGGCTTGAATCTCCTCCACACTCGAGCCCATGCCCACAAGCCTCTCGATCAACGTCAAAATGTCCGCCTCCTTCTCCAGCGTGACCCGATTATGGACGGATTCCTACCATATCGAGATTGGTGAGTGTTACAGAAGCACAAAGCACCTTTAACTCCAACGCTTCGAGCTCCGAGCTTCGACGTTTTAACGTTCAACACTCAAGTACTCAGCGCTCGACGCTCAACGCTCAACGCTCAACGTTCGACCCTCGCCCGAACTACTTGGCTTCGCTCTCACACCCTTCCGTATCTCGCACGGTTGGCCGCCGGGACCACGCTGGGACAATAGGTACTACTTATCCTGCGGTAAGTAATTTTCACCTCATTTGTTTTTTGTACTGCATACTGACAAACGGCACGTTCTAGTACTCAAGAACACAGTTCTCATTGGGGTATGGCAGCGTAGCTAGCTCCGGGAAGGTGCGGCAGTTCTCGTTTCGGACGGCAACTTTGTGTAAGCGTGCGTTCACCTCGCGCACTCGCCAACACACGTTATCATTCTGACTTGACTTCCTTTCTAGACGGCATGTGAGATCAACCGTCTACCCTATACATCCAACCCCCACCCAACTCGCTGTACAACACTAAAACCCCAGGCCAGCCAACACCCAACTATAGCTGTTTTTGGACTTTGAAGGTCATTTCCCCCAATCATCGGAATCTCTGGTTAATGTAGCAAAGTGATGCGATGCTTTCATGTATATAACGAACCTTCAATACAATATTGATATCTACCACCCAGGTCCCAGTGTGAGTGGAGGAGTCCGAGGTGCAGTGACATGTACTAGTGTACTTAGCTTGTAAGATTTCTTGATCGATTTTGGATCCGGGGCCAGTCTCGGATCCAAAACCGACGCACAGCTTTTAGCGAGGATTGCCCATCCTCAGGCCTCAGGTTGAGCACGGGCAACGCGCTACACCACCAAAAGCGCGCCGTACCGGATTTGACAACACGCATCACCGGTCTGTACAAAGGGTTGAAACAAGGCTTGCCAGGACCCCATTGACAGCCCCACGGAAAGGGATTTTGGAAGAACCCCGCCAGACATAACCGACTGGGCCCCATTGATGACATCAAGCATAAATGGCTGGTGCTGGCGTTGACTCGAGTGCTCGATCAGAGGCTAGAAGATATTCTCGGGCCAGCGGCCAAATTCCACGCTCCAGCCGGTGCTCAGCGTGGCCTATTGTCCACCGGTCTGCTGTACTAAGACGAAAGCGCAACTGCACAGACCGCGTTCCGCACGGGCCATCTTCACTCGGCTACTTAGGTGGGCCTTCAGGTCCTCAGACTTCGAGTCCACCAACTTCCCCCCTTCACCTCCCTCTTCGTCATCACGTACTTTTGCCCACTGATCTTCGATATCGCCAGCACCTACTCACCCACGAGCCATGCCCATACAAACACACCTTGTAGGACGTTGGCATTTATTCTACATAACCCGCCGCTCCGCTGAGCACCTGACGGTCGTTCAATGTAGCTATGCGCAAACTCACGAACCCCAGCCACACACCGTCGTCACCGCTGCTGCCCCTGTCCCTCCACCTACGCCCCGTCCGCACGCAAAATCTCGTTAATCATAAATCAGCACAAGCTATATGGAACGTGCTACCATATTTACGCACAAGACCCACGCCGTTGTTGCGCGAGGGGGGGATGACCTTTATATACTATTTTGCATGTACAATACGTCTAATGTATGCCGGTAATCAATAATCGAGTTTACAAGTATTCTGTCTATGAAGCATGAGCAGGGGAACCAACGGGCACCTATAAGAATTGTTCCTGATGTGGATCTCAATCCTTGGATCCAGCATTTGAGTGTAGCCACTACGAAGCGGCTCTGGCGATCCTATGACTGAGCCATTACATTTAGGTGTCCGTCTCGGGCGTCGATGCGTGTTGTCAATTCTGATACTTGGAGCAAACCCCAGCACCAGCAATTTGCATCGCGTACTGGCCGAGGCGCTCGATGCGTGTTGCTGCTTTTGGCGCTTACCAGAAGCCTTGGCTGAGGCCCCCTGGCGAGTGCCAAATATCGAAACACGCATCACGGGCCCCTGGCAGCCATTGGCGCTTTTGGGGGTGTAGTGAAAGCCGTGCAACTGCATCCAGGCCTCGGGTGTCGAATCCGTAGTATTTTCTTATGTAATCAAAAAATTGATCGGCCTAGTAATGGCGGTCATGGTTGTATTTCGAACGCAATTGCAAGATTTCGGGCTCCCGGACTCAATATGAGGCACCTTTTGACACCGGACCTGCCAATAGATCAACAAAAATGCAGCAGAACACGTTCATATAGGGATAATTAAGTCGGACACCACGCTCAAGTCAGCTCCGAAAGCACACACCCGATCAAGCTCACGCCTGGTGTTGTATACATTTGTCTGGGAGCTTTGGCAAATATTGCGCGGGAATTCCTGCAGCTGCGTGGACGTCAGCTCAAACTCCAGAAGTCGGCTGACAAGGAGGATTTGGGAGTATTTAGATTGTACTAAGTATGTCGGAGCCAGAGCTGTACAAACTGGTATTTATTCCCTTTGGTGCAGAAGAACGTCATTTGTTGAGTAGAATATTCTGCTGTCTCCTCAGCTTTAACTGCTGCTTTGACCATGAGAGCATGGTGTGTTTTCTGAGAGGGCGACGTGTACCAATTATTTTCACGCTCGCCCTTTCCGTTCCGGAAATGATTACATAAGCGAATATGCTGTTGTCATAACCGTAATGCGTTGAAGTTGGTGTTCACCACAATGCATTTTCTATGACTTTTTTTCCTGATTTATGTCTGGGATTATTTTCCCCACAAAATGTTGTGACCTATATGTCAGGACTTCATCCTGAACATCTCCGCACTCCGTAGAATGAGCCCGGACTCATTCCGCTCCCATTCATTCTTTCCGTCTCCGCTCCTGTTTCCACTCCATTTCCATTCCGTCCCCTTCCTTCTCTCCGCCTGTGCGGAACCCATAGGAATACATGTATTTACCTAGGACTTATTTCCCTCTTCGCCGGATTGATCCCCGAGGCTCTCCTCGTGTTTCCCTTCCTTTTCCGTACTTCCCATTTAGTCTCCGTGTATATATACATTGCGCGTGAGGACTCCGTTTCCTCACGCTACAAAGCACCTTTCCACTATTCCTTGGTCCGCAGTGTGATTACCTCTACGTCCTTGTACGCTTGGGCCACTAGAGATTCTCCGCGCTGCTCGCCTTGGTTCCCACACACTCCGCGTCGCTCCCCGTCGGCGTCCTCCTGTTTTCCGTTGCTGGCCCTTGGCCTCCGTCGTCGACTCCTGACACTATATCTCCCCTG